CACACACACACACGCACACACACACACAGACGCACACACACAATCCGTCCGATCATCTGCAAATGTGTTTCTCGCCTCCTGCTTCATGTACCTGCTTGTGTCTTAGCGCTCGATGACGCCACCGGCGGTGCCTGCGAGTGTTTGTGCACACGGGTTTATCCTCGCGAGCGGCTGTGGCGAAAACTGTGCATGTGTGTAAGAGAGTGAGAGATAGAGGGAGGGAGGGAGAGCAGATGATAGAGTAGGCTTTAGCGATTCCCTGGAGTGTGAGGCAGCGTTTACGGCACTCTCAGAGCAGCCAGAGTGATGAATATTTAAAGACGTGCCTGAAAGCGCAGAGGGAGGGGGGAGCAGGGTGTGTGCGGGTGCGTGCCTGTTTGTGTTTGCATGCGCCGGTGAATGCGTGCCGAAGTGCGTGCGAGAGAGGTTATCTCCTTTAGCATTTGCGTACTTGTAGCGTGCGTGTGCGTGGTCGAGTCTTTCACACCTGGGCCTGTGTTTTGTATCACATGTTTGTGGAAACTTATCAGCCCATGTGTGATTTAAACGTAAACACACATAGATTATTCATGTGCACGTGCGTGTGGACATTAATCATTTGCATGCATGTAAATACGTTTATGTGATTGCTTATAGCAGCACCGCCACTGTGATAATGAATCTCGGCGTGTGTGTGTGTGTGTGCAGCCTTGGCGCCAGTTCACTCCCTGTTTGTGTGTTCACTTCACACAGCCCTGCAGGCCAGCTCTCCGTCTCGCTAAATGGGGATGGATAGCGGAGCGTCGGTGCTGTTTTAATCGGAGACGAGCTGCTACGTGGCACTCCCTCCCCCCGGTTACACACCGATCGCTGGCTGAGGTGCAAAACACAACCGTGCACGAGCATGTAGTTTGGTCGCACTAAAAGATGAGCAAGCCCCAGCCATGCTCTTCCTTTGGAATCAGGGCATGGCAATCAAAGAGCATCTGACACAGCAGATTAGTAATCTGTGTGTAAATAAGTCAAAATGATTAAAAAATTTAAAGGATTAGCGTTCCTTGACAGAACGCATATTGCACATTTGGCCTTGCCAAAGTTTTAAACTAAGATCATCTTATGTAGAGAAATGACAGCCTTAGAGTCACAAAAAGGTTAAATCAGGTCATCTGGACAGTTTCTTTTTGGGAGAAACGTTTCGTCTTTTATCCAAAAGACTTCATCAGTCTGAAGCCTGCCAATCCAGATCTGTCTTATAAAAAGCACCTCCTTGATGTGTCCAGCCAGCCCTCTGCGGACTGGCTGGACACATGCAGAAAGGGACCATCCGTCCAAAACAATCAGTCAACATGTACAACAATCAAATGTTTTTGGCCAGGTGGCCTTTTAGACAAATATAGAAGAAAAAAAAAGATGGCTGATCGTTTAGCACTCAGAGCATGTGTTGTGAATGACTCTCAGTAACTTCCACATTAAATCTGACCTCAGTATCTGTAAAACTGACTGAGCTGTAGCCATTTTTGAGCCTGTTTAGGTCGATTAGCTGTGGTGACCATTTTGAATCATTCTGACTCCAAAAGGTAATCAGTTGTAGCGAGGACTGGACAATAATTCGATATCGATATATATCACAATACACTTTTATTCAATAACGGTTATATGAGTTTTAAGCACATTTTCAATATTTCAATATACATTACGCTATGATTACAGCGTTTCACTGACGCATTTTTTTTTCTGTTCGGGTTGAAGCGGCCACTTCGGTTTCAACCCGGACAGAAAAAGCCGTGACACAACTATGCAAGTGCGTGGTGACGTACACCACAGCTCGAAGGAGTCAGCGGTAGCAGGCTAGGCTAATGTCCAACGCGCATTAAGTTTTCGCTTCAAAATGAGTGCCCATGCCCGTCAGAATGTGACTGAACAAGCTTTCACAAGCGAAGAGAAAACAGATGACATGACTGATAAGAGAGGAAAGACTAATTTGATGGTGTGGAAGAGGTTCGGCTTTCTAAGATCCGATAAACTGCAGGTTTCATCGTGCTGCAAAATGTGACGGAGACTCGTTCCAACTAGCGATGAGAACACAACTAACTCGTTCCACTTGATAGAAACTGCTGAGAGTCAGAAGATGAAGCACAATAAAAGTCTGAGCCAACGTGTCCCTGAAACAACACCCCCAGCTGTATCTAAAGAGAAACACGCAGCAAACACAGACGTTTGCTGCACGGGCTAGTTTTGTTGTCGTTTAAAGTTAAAACTATTAATATTGACAAAGTTGAGAGTTTTATGTTTATTTGATAGTGATTTCAAATTTCTTTGAAGGCTAAATACAAATAAAAGGTAAACATTAATTTATTTGAACAGTCTGTACTGTTTTTCTGAGACTTTTATATTGTTTATATCAAATTATATCGTTATCGACCAAAATTAAGAAATATATCGTGATAAAAGTTTTGGTCATATCGTCCAGCCCTAGTTGAAGCTATCCATTGTTTCCCTTACCATCATACAAGAGGGACGCCCCGCTAACAGAACCGAGCGCCCCGCCTTCCGAACCAAACCAAACTGGGTGCACATCCCACCCCCGGCACTGGCATAACGCTAAGCTAGTGGTGCACAATACAGGCGTGCTAGCTAAAAAGCTAAAGGTAGCGCTCACGCTGCCTCTTCCCTCACTCTGAACCCTCCCCCCACGCTCAGAAACTGCCGGAACAACCAACACGCGCAGCTCAGCTGTGAGAATCACGGACGAGATGAGCGCCCCACCATGGCAAGTTATCAAGGAGGAACACTGCTTTCCATTCAATGACGACTGAGTTTCATAGAAATGTGCCCACTTGTTCAGGATATATTTTGCTAACAGACACATGGACATACACAGACAGGAACCACATTATTGCTCGTCTTTACCTTTCAGCGGGAGGCAATAAAAATGTCACCTGCTGATCAGAGAGCTTGTTTCATGTGCTGGCTTTGTGTGATCGCTTCCACTACATAAAATCACAAACAAACAAAAAAATGAATTCCTGACTTTTGTGGC